GACAGAAAGCCCCATTCCCCTCCATTCCATTCTCCTCCCAGGACGGCATTTAACATCCTGCGCCTGCCAGCTGGCGGGCAGCCACATCGATGGCTCTGTCAGCACTGGCCTTGGAGAATAAGAAACTCAACCATAAAAGGCTAGAACTTCAGTCTGTGCAGTGGTGTGGGGAAGGAAGGGGCACTGGGTACAGAAACAGAGCTCAAAGGGCTGACCCCAAATACACCTAAGCAGGATAGGTACCAGTGAACATGAAGGGGAACTGGACACCGCTGTCTGCTGACAGGATGGGACTATTGGGCCAAACCCTTCAGGTGTGGGTCTAAATGTTATTGGCAAACTGGTCACCAGTCCCATTCCTTCACACCCCATTAATGACCGGAATCCTGGGGAAATGACTGAGGCAGGCATCTGGAGTCACCAAAGAGAGACTTTCCTCGTATAGATGAGACAGCTATGTGTCCACAACAGCCTTTTCATACTGAAGACTCCTAACCCAAGGGAACAAAAGCAAGGGGCTCAGAGGATGACAGAGGGTCTAGAGGGGATGTGGACAGAATGATGAACACTGAGGAATGCTGAATCGGAACATGGGGCAAGGAGACAAAGGCTTGGAGTGGAGCAGACAAGAGTGGAGATGGAACAGGCCACCAAAGTATTGACTGTGGGGAGGAAGCGCTCAGTTGTCTTCAATTCCCCCTCCAGTTCTCGTGCCCAGGGGCAGTCCTCATGAGGGTTGCAGCACTTCCTGTCTGGGAAATCAGGGCATGGCCTGGAGCCCATGGTCTGTTTTGGCAGCTGGCTTCAGCATGGCTCACTGGCCACCTCACTTGTCTTCCCAACTTTGCTTCCCTTTGCCCTTTGTTCTCATGTCTTCCCTGTTCCTCACCTGAGTCAGACAGGACTCCCTCTTCATTGCTTAGGGACCAGAGGGAGATGCTGCAGGACTTGCCGAGGCTCAGTGTGGGGACAAATAAGCACATCTACCATGCCCTCGCCTGGGGACAGCTCCCCAAAAGGCATGCGTTTTAACCTCAAGGTAAATTTTCCGGCCAGAGAATTCCTACACCTTTTGGAACATTCTGCACCCATTCACACCCCCCTCTTCCATGGCTGGCTCCAGAGGACAGGCATTTGAGAACTTGAGAGCTTGTTCCCATATGGGGTGCTGTTCTGTTACTTTGCTTATACTGGACTTTGGTTTCCCTTTGTTAGGCTGGATCAATCGGCCCTGCCCATCTTATTCCTAAGGTGAGGACAGGAGATGATGAGGGAGGAGGAGAATTCCTGGGGGACTAGGGGAATGCTAGTGCTACAAGGGACTCTAATAGCCACCTTCTCCAACTTTCAACTTCATGCCTAAACACCCCCATAGAAGAAACTCAAACGCAAGATTCGTAGCCATGTTAGCCACATAAGTTCCTATTGAAGCCCTAGGAACACGCAGAGTAATGCCTAGTGAGGTAGGGAGCAAAAAGCAGGGTCTCCACACACAGTTGAGTGGTTAGGGCAAAAAAGGATTGGCTGAGGGCTCTAAACCAACATCTTCTCTCCAACTAAGTCAAGAGGCTTCTTGTGATATTGGGTGTGTGCAGCCTTTTCAAATCCCTCTGCCCCATGGAGCTCCTTTTCTTAATTTTCACAAAGTACCCTATAAGCTTGAAAGCCAAGGGCAAATGCAAAACCCACTCAGGCCTTGTGCACATGCCAATAAACACAAGGTCAAAGGGTCTCATGAGTACACATGGATACAGGCCCATAGTGCACGAGGACACAGTTGACTGTCCATCTGCCCCTTCCTTCATCTGTTCACTCTTTTGCTGTGCAGAACATCTAGCACATGGAGAGCTACTGTAGCTAGGCATGACTGACCGCAGAACAGTTAGGAAGCTGTTTTGATATTTCAAGAGTTGACCTCCAATTGCTGTTGAGTTCATTCAAATTCAAGGTAACCTCATGTGTACAAAGTAGAACTGTTCCTTGGGGTTTTCTTGGCTGTAATCTTAATGGAGGTGTCCTTGTGTGGCACTGTTTGAACTACAAGGTCAGCGGTTCAAGCTCACCAGGTGTTCCTTGGAAACCCTATACAGGGTCGCTATAGGTCGGAATTGACTCGACGGCACTTAACAACAACAACAACAACAACAACAACAACAACAATCTTTATGGAAGCAGATTGCTGGATCTTTCTTCTGTGGCAGACATGGGTGCGTTTGAACTGCCGATCTTTAATAGGCAAGTGCAAACTGTTGGAGCCATCCAGAGACTTGAAAGCTGGCCAGGACATGAGGAAAACATGTATTTGGATGGAGAGGAAAGGAGTCAACTTGAAAATCAGTCAGAAGACAGACTCAGTAGTAGGATGCAGGGGATAAGGAAAAGGAAGTGGAAGCCTCTGAGGTCATGGTGGCCTCAGAGAACATTCTCAGAGGACTAGTGGTGCATGGTGGTGTCTGCAGGGAGCTGAAGAGTGCCTGGGAGGTCAAGAGACAGAATCCTTGTAGAGACAATCACCTTTCAGAGAGTTGGCTATGAGAGAGAAAAACAAAGAGATATGGTAGGGTAGCTGGAGTAAGACAAAATAATGTAGGAGTAATAATAATTTATGAGTGGATACATGGGTAGATATGTATACTGAACAGGTGTGGAATGGTGTATAGAAGTACACCCACCAGCATATGTAGGTTTGGCAAAGGTTATTTCTATGTGACGATGGTGAAACTTTGTCTCATGTACTCTGGGTATGTTATTAGGAAGAACCAGTACCTGGAGAAGGATATCATGCTTGGTAAAGCAAAGGGTCAACAAAAAAGAGGAAGACCTTCAACAGTGGCTGCACTGAGAGGCTCAAACATTGGAAAGATTGTAAGGCTGGCACAGGACAAGGGAGTGTACTATGAGTTGGAACTGTCTCTAAGACACTTAACAACAACATATGTTTATATATATATATACACCCAGGTATGCAGTAGAGCATAAGGAGCTCTGGTAGCGCAGTGGGTTAGGAGTTGGGCTGCTAACCACAAGGTCAGCAATTCGAATCTACCAGCCACTCCATGGGAAAAAGATGAGGCTTTCTTCTCCTGTAAAGATTTATAGCCTTGGAAACCCTATACAGGGTTGCTATGAGTTGGAACTGACTCTGTAGCACAAAACCACCACCACCACAGTAGAGCACAAAGAGGACAAAGTTATCCAAACTTCTTAGCCATAATCAAATTTCCTTGAGAGATTGAGTCACTGGGCTTAAGGGTTTGAAGGCTTAGGACCATAGTCTCAGTGGACAAATAAGTCATTTGGTATAACACGGTACATATAAAGACAATGTTCTACAGCCTACTTTGGTGAGTAACAACTAGGGTCTTAAAAGATTTTGAGTGACCATCTAAGATACAGCTATAAGTCTCTTCCCATCTGGAGCAAAGAAGAATGAAGAACATCAAAGACTCAAGGGAACAATTAGTACAAGGGACTAATGGACGCATGAACCCCAGCTCCCACTACCCTGAGACAAGAACTAGATAGTGCTTGCTTACCACTACAGACAGCCCTGATGGGGACCACAACAGAAGGTCCTGGACAGAGTGGAAGAAAAATGTAGAACCAAATTCAAAATCATGAAAAAGATCAGACTGACTGGTCTGAGAGAGACTGGTGGAACCCTTGGGAATGTGGCCCTTTCACACCTGGAACTCACTTCACTTTCAGAGATCACCTTTCAGTCAAATTATGGACGGGCTTGTAAAGTGAACAATAACACTTGTGAGGTAGGTACTCCTCACAACAATCAACCATATGAGACCAAAACACCACATTCAGAATACAGGAAGGGGCAAAGATGGAATGGAAATGGAGACAGACACCAGGGAGGAAGCAGGAACAGTACGAATACATGTTGAGGACTGCAACCAATGTCATGAAACAAAATGTGTGTAAACAATTGAGTAGGAAACGAATGTGATTCGTAAATGCCACCCAAACCACAATAAAATACTCAGTTAAAAAAAATACATATTGCAGGGGTTATACATGTGGGTGTTTGGGGCTATGGCTGGTTGTTGTTGTTAAGTGCCGTCATGTCTCTTCCGACTCATAGCAACCCTGTATCAGGTTTCTGAGAAGTGGCTGGTGAGCTTGAACCACTGACCTTGTGGTTCAAACCAATTTTGCAGTTCAGAGCATTAACCTACAAGCACCATACCAGGACTCCGTCCTGCCAATATTTACAGATTGTGGGGAGGAGCTAGTGGCGATGAAGAAGTTGAAGAGAAGAAAAAAAGAGTGGGAGGTGAATCCCAAGAACTAGGGATTGAAAACACAGGAGCAACTTCAGGCTGGAGACAGGTGGGCCCCATTCAAGATGAAGTCAGACAGGACCGATACAAAGACCCTATGGGTGTAGGGGAAGATGTTGAGCAAGCTCATGCCTAATGTCTCATATTTCTCAGAGAAACGAGAGGTCAAGGCCTACAGGTTGGGGAAACTCCAGGAATAGCTGTCTTAAAAATGGGTGAGGATGTTGACCAGGGATGAGGAAGAGGATTTCTGACCAGCGGAGATACCTCAGTTAAGTCTGGAGGCCACCAGAATCCAGTAATGAGACTGTGGGTGATGGAATCTTCCCACAGAACCCTAGAAGCAGCAACAGGAGCAGTGAGGTCAAAAGGTAGCATTGCTTCAAGGTACGACTTATAATGGGAGTTGGGTAGAGTGGACAGAGGTAAAGACGCCCAGCATCGCCAACAAGCAGAAATGGAGAAGCCAGGAGGGGATTCATAGGCAGAAGAAAAATCTGGCTTGGGGGCTTTGGGGGTATCTAGACCAGGCATTCTAGATCGAAGTCATGTGAAAGTAAGTGAAGGAAAAGCTTGGCGAACAGGAGGCTGTGGACAGAAAAGGAGGAGTTCCAAAGAAGGAGTAGGACTTTGTTGATAAGGTGCTGGGGGCTTGCCCCCCATATCCCCATCCCCAACCTCCATGCCACCGTGTTACAGACTCACCCACCACCGTGAGGTTGACTTGGGCCTGCCTGCTTCCCAGCTTGTTCTCCACCACCAATGTGTAGCAGCCACAGTGCTCCTGGCGAGTGGCCAGAATGGTCAGCTTGCTGCCGTTCTCGCTGCTCTCCACCTTGATGTGCTCGCTCTCCTGGATCTGTGGGCAGAGGTAGGACAGACACTGGAGGCTTGGGTCAGGAATGCAATGGGGGCTCCTGCTCTCCGCCCCCATTCCATAAGGGATGCAACCGGATAGCTGTGTAGCACTCAGTCTTATTTGGGCTCTGTGCTTCCCCCAGAGCCCTTTACCTCCTGCTTTGAGAGGCAAGTCTCCCTAAAAGAGTCCAGATCTGAGCAAGCAGGGTGGCTAAACCAAGTCAGCACTCACTGCTTCCAGAATATAGTTCAGGAGTGCCCCAGCCTCCCTCGAATCTCTAAGATGGGACTATAGCAGAAGACATCTGGGCAAAGTCACTGACGAAATCTACCCATGGGTTCTGACTTCTTCTGTGCTGTCCAACACTGTAACCACTAGGCACATATGACTATTTAAATGATCATTAAATGGAAACAACCCAAATGATCATCAACCGATGAATAGATACACAAACCATGGTATATCCAGACAATGAAATATTATCCGGCCATAAAAAAAGAATAAAGTCTTGAGGCATGCTACAGCATGGATGAACCTTGAAAATCCAACCCAACCAACCAAGTAAAAGAAGTGAGATGCTTGTGTGCTGATGACCAGGGGGTGGGCTTGCAGGGTATACCCTTTGGTTGGTTGATGACGCATGGAGGGATTGGAACCATGGCAACGTAATGATATACGACAGGATGAATGTAAAGCTAATGTTCTCCATGTAAACTATCACACAATTCACAATAAAACATTTTTTTTTTTTAAAAAAAAAAAAGAAAAAAGGCCATGCTTTGTACAATTCCATTGATATGAAATGTTCAGAAAGTAGATTAGTAATTGATTGCCAGGGTCCTGGGGGAGAGAGAAAATGGGGAATGACTGCTAATGGGTATGGGATTTCTTTCTGAAATGATGAAAACGCTCCAGAATCAGGTAGTGTTGATGGTTACATACCGTATGAATATACAAAAAAAACAACAACCCTGGATTGCATTCTTTAAAAGGATGGATTTTTTAGTAAGTGAATTAAATGTCAACAAAACTGTTATAAAAAATTTAATTATATAAAATTGAAAACTCAGTTCCTCAGTTGCACTAGCCATATTTCATATGCTCTATAAGCACATATGAGTAGTGGCTACCATCCTGTAGAAAACTAAGAGAGCTCACTTCCATCACTACAGAGTTCTGTTGGACACAGCTAGGACTTGGCCAAATGTCTCTGGTAAGGGAGAAGAGCCCACCTCACTTCAGGCAACAGCAGTCCAGACAAAGTTTAGGGCAAACGTGTTTGGAATGTCAAAGGCCAAATTCTGAGACCACCTTTCCTTTCCTTCCTGGTACTAGCCTCCCATTCTGCTCCTGAGGGCAATTTGAAGGGTTTGGAAAGGGCACCAGTGGACTCATGGGTGATCTTCACACCTTCTACTCCACACTGTTCCTGATTCAGTGCCAGCTTCGCCAGCTAGGGGCCTCGACCGATCATGCATATGGGCACATGCTACCAACATGTGCTCCGTGGAATGGCTGGACTCCCTAAGTCCCTTTAAAAACTGGTAGTTTGGAAATTCAAACTTTCCCTTTAGAAATATTGCTGTAAATGGAGTGTGATTTCTGGAGCAATATTCCAAAATTCTATGTAACCTACGATTTATCTATTCAAATACTCAGATTCACTCTCAGCATGTGGTAAGTTCCAGTTTCTATTATGGATAGTGTTCAGCGGACCGGCAGGGAATCCCAGAAAGCTCATTGAGCTGAACAGGTTATCTTAGGTCACTTGGTTTGATTTTCCGGACTCGGAGTAGGATTCTAGAGTGAAGTAGCAAAATCAGATGAGAGCCATGAATGGTTTCTACAGTCTCTTTCACATTTTTCTCTATTTTATCACTTGTCTATAAAGTAGATACCATGTGTAGATTTAGAAAAAAAAAGTTATTAAGAAATCAAATTTGGTAGGTGGATGGGAAGGGGGTCTCCTATTTCACTAAGTCCCAATAATTCTGCAATGAAAAATTATTGGGACTTTGCTGTCTCTATTACAATAATCTCCTTCCCTCTTGGCCTCGGGGCTATGGGGCAGTTCTCCAGTCACTTGCTTCTGCTACTGACCTTCTTTCGGAACTTCATCCAAGTACAGGTGATAGGTTGGGTGCCTGACACTTTGCCAAACAATTCCACAGACTCTCCAGCGCGCACCTTTTGGTCTTCTGGGAACTGGATGATCTGAGGGGGCATAGCTGAGAAAGAACAAGTGACAAAGTGAGGGAAAGGAGGGAGGCTCAGACATTCTGGTCTCATTTGGCACCAATTTCAAAGTTGGTCTACTGATTCCTCTCTCACCTTCTGGAACCTTTGGGGTTAGACTGAGGGCAGTGACTTCTGCTTCAGGACATTTGAGCAGAGAGACCCACTAGGCTTATTCATCTGTTTTATTCTGATTCCTTCAGATGTGACCACACAACTTATATGGCATCATTCTCCATTTATTAGTTGTTCTGGCATTCATGTCTTACCCTAATTTTCAGTCTATATCCTTACACTTTTATTAATTAATCAGAGTCTTGTCATCTAACCTCCCGGTCACTCTGGCTAAAAGGTTCAATATAGTCATGTCCTCACATGTCTTTCAATGGAAACAGATAGGGACCCCGTAAGAAAACAAAACAAAACAAAAGCAAAATCGTTGTCATTGAGTTGCTTCTGACTCATGGCGATTCCATGTGTATCAGACTAGAACTGTGCTCCATAGGGCTTTCAATGGCTGATATTTTAGAAGTAGATTACCAAGCCTTTCTTCCAAGGTGCCTCTGGATAGACTCAAACCTCCAACCTTTTGGTTAGCAGCTGAATGCTTGCATCCCTCCAGAGACATAGAGCACAAAGTAGACCATACACATAAGGGGAAGAGTGGAGGACAGAAGGTTGGGCAGAATTTTGGAGAAGGGACAGGGAAGTAGCTAGCCCTGTGTGATGCTCCCCACATAGGGGGAAAAACAGAAGGAAAGAAATGTTATGGAAAAGGGTGGGGGACTAGGCTGTGTACAGGATCACAGGGGAGAGCAGGCAAAACTGGCTTGAATAATGCAGAGGGTGAATCAGAGAACAAGTGAGATCACACATCCTCATGGCCAGTCTAGCAGGGCACAGAAACGAAAATCCCTCATGGCAGGCGACTTTTGCCCTCAAATGTTGCTGTGACCAATTACCTGCCTTCGTAGGTGTCTTGGGGGCAGGTTTCTTTTTCACAGTTGCATCACCTGAAATGAAGAAGTTCACAAGTTAGTTTTTTCTGTTCTGTAGCTGTTAAATCCTAGAAAGATAGAGTCTTGCCCGCTGCCCTCTCTTTTAGGGAAAAGTCCTCATTCTAATATCTTTCTGGAGATTTCCTTGCTTCCTCCAATAGTCAACTTCACAATCAAATATTGGTTCTCAAGAGGAATTTTGGAAGGTTCTTGGAGCCTTCAATAAGACTTTCAAAACTGTACAAACCCGGATACAATCCCAAACTCACTAACTATTCTCGCTCCCTAATTTTCCGGAAAGTCAGAAAGGAAATGATGTCAGATAAACCAACTAAAATTAGCCTTTTGTGTGGGTCCAACCCTCTCAGACTTTCTTTGGATCTCAGACTGTGGACTGGCTTCTTACATTTTCTAATGTTTGTTGAATGAATGAATGAATCAATGAACCAGCTGAAAGTCGTCTTCTCTCTCTACCCTCACTTTCTCCAGATAATGCAAATGGGAAAATGACCCAAGTAGCACAGTTCTGCAGCACAAACTTATTAATTTCACTAAACAATTTGCTATTGTTGTTAAGCGTCGTCCAGTCGGTTCTAACTAATACCATGTATAGAATTTCTGAGGAGTGGCTGGTGAATTTGAGCCACCGACCTTGTGGTCCAGTGCTTATCCTATAGTGGCATACCAGAACTCCTATAGTATGGAAATATGCAAAAATGTCCTCAGCTACCTTCAAAGCTGTTTTCTTCCTTCTTTCAGGACTTTACTCAAATGTCATCTAACCTCATGAAATGAAAACATATTTCACATAAACACTTGTTTGTAAGTATGTATAGTGGCTTTATTTGTAATTGCCCCAAACTGGAAATTACTCAAATATCCTCCAACCGGAAGATGATGGACAAACTGTACATCCATACAATGGAGTCCTACCTAGCTAAAAAATAAAGGAATAAAGTACTGATACATACAATGAGCAACAAGTGCAAAATAATTCCATTTACATGACATCTGGGAAAAGGCAAAACTATAGGGACAAAGAACAGATTAGTGGCTGATAGACTTGGGGTTGTGGGTAGGACTGACTACCAAGAATAAGAGGACCCTATAGGTCTTTCCAACTCTTGGGGGACAGGGAAACTATTATGAGGCAATCACTATCGGCTTGAAAGGCACTAATCAAGGTCCAACCTTAGTAAAGGTTGACCTTAGAAAGGAAGACAAGCATGTGAGACAGAAAAAGTTAAGAAAAGGAAAAATAAAACAGGATTTAGGGGGCCAAATAAGAAGGAGGTACAAAGTACACTGAAATTTCTGACTTAGGTCAAAGGGAAGTGTTTAATGATGGGATATGGAGTTGGGGAGTGAAAGATGAAGAGCTTGGTATGGTCATGTGAATTTGGTAGATGAGAGAACTGTATGTGTGTTTAGGGTAGAAGGCCAGGATTGGAATCTTAGAGCGAGATTGGAGGGGAATGGAAATGAGAGATTTCAGAAACACTGAATTATAGTGGAAGCTATGAAGATGGGTCAGTTCTTTTGGGGAGGAAAGACTACAACCAAGGTCTAGTCCCAGGAGATGCTCATAAGGAGGAGCTGGACTGAAGGAGAGGGGGTATGGGAGAACTCAAAGAGGTCCAGGGAGGGTGGTCACTACAGCCTAGGGGTGGGGGAGAGGAGAATGGACTTGGGCAGTGGGTGTGACTAGCGATGAGTGACAGCTGAAGTTTGAGAGGGTAGGTTCAGTGGGATGGTGTGGTCAGAAGTTACTGCAGAAGAGACTCTTGAGGAAACGGGTCAACTTCCCAGTCAAGAATTGTGGAGGTGAAAGGACAAAGAAAAACAGAATTACATAGTAAGGAGCTCTGGTAGCGTAGTGGGTACGAATTGGGCTGTGAACCACAAGGTCAGCAGTTTGAAACTACCAGCTGTTCCACGGGAGAAAGATGAGGCTTTCTGCTCACGTAAAGATTTACAGCCTCGGAAACCCTGTACAGGGTCGCTATGAGTCGGAACCAACTCCATGGCACATAACAACAATGTAAGAGAAAATGCCAAGCTAAGACTTCTTCCAGGTGAGAAAGAAGAGTACACTTTTGAAAGCAAGAAGTCAAGATTTAGTGGGGAGGAAGAATGTGAAAGTGGTGGAGGAAAAGAAAATCAAGGGAAAGCCAATTCCCTTTGGAACAGAGACAGGATGGGCTATGGAACTACCTGAGCCAGGAAGTCCCTGCCCTTATTCCTCCAGGACTACTGAAATGAGAGAGAAGACAGCTGTGGATAGAGAGGTCCTCAAGTGAAGAATGAAAGCCTTTTTTCCAGAGCTAGGATCTGGTCCCCTCTGGAGCGGGAAGACCATTGTTCAGAGGAGTTGTGTGGAGGGCTTAGGATGGGCTGGAGTGGGATCTGGGGAGTGAGACAGTTTGACAGTCTTTGGGATAATGAGCTAGGAGTCAGTAAAGAAGTAGGAAGCTGCCCAACATGAAATCTGATGAATCCAAAGTTCTGTCCTACACTTGGAGGCTTGGAATGAACTTCATAGAGGACAGACTGACATTTCTCTTTTTGTGTTACAGTTAAACAAGATTTAAGGCCAATTTTTAATGTTGTTTTCAAGAAATTTGAATTGGTTAGCATTTGAAATTGGTTTGGTTCCTTATTAGTAAAGACAATTTTAAATGATAACAATGATCTGTATCCTATTCTATACATATTTTATAGGACCATCTGCTGAGTTCCATGAATTACATTCTGGCTCACATGGCTAAGCAGAGTCATGTGATTCTAAAACGTGGTCTTTCAGAGAGCTCTGAGCTTGGTGAGCTGAATGTCTAAGCCACGAGCTCATCATCTTTTCACATTTATCTTTTACATCAACCAAACACAAGCAAGGAGCTTTACACTGTTACATTTTATGTATCAGCAGTGGATTCACATAAAAGTCTAGAGATCTTGATGTAGCTGAGCTAGATAACCTGGTGCTGTGGGTTAATGCGCTAGACGAAAAGGTCTATTTGAACTACAAGGTCGGCAGTTCAAGCTCACCAGCTGCTTCTCGGAAATCCTATACAGGGTTGCTATGGGTCAGAACAGACTCAATGGTACTTAACAACAAGTATGAAAAGCAAAAACACAAGATGCCATTGAGTCATTTTGATTTGTGTGATCCCATACAGTGAGACGGGAACTGTGTTCCATAGGGTTTCCCTTTCCTTTTTTTATTCTGAACATTTTATTGTGGTTCGGGTGAAGTTTACAGAGCACATTAATTTCCGACTTAACAATGTATGCACATTTTGTTTGGGGACATCAGTTCCCTCAATGACACAGCACTCTTCCCACTTTCTCCTTAGGATCCCCACACCCATTCGCCACTGTTTCCTGTCTATTCCTGCTTTCTGGACTTTGTGGGCAGATGCTGCCCTTTTGGTCTCATATGGCTGACTGTTCTGAGAAGTATGTTCCTCAGAGATGCTACTGTGTTCTTCACGGGCCTGCTTACTGTCTGGTTGAAAGGTAATCCCAAGGATGGGTCTCAGTTACAGGCTTGAAGGGTGTCTAAGGGCCATAGTCTTGTGGGGGTCTCCACCACTCTCTATCATCCATAGGGTTTAGGGTTTTCAACAGCTAATTTTTTTTTCTTTTAAAGTAGATCACCAGACATTTCTTCTGAGGCATCTCTGGGTGGACTTGAACCTTGAACTTTTTGTTAGCAGCTGAATGTTAATCAGTTGCACTACCTAGGACTCCAACTCTCAGTATATGGCTGCTGTCATGGGTTGAATTGTGTCCCCCTCAAATATGGAGCCCTGGTGTGGTGCTGTAGGCTAAGGTGCTGGACTGCAAGGTCGGTGGTTCAAACCCACCAGCTGTTCCTCAGAAACCCTATACAGTGTTGCTATGAGTCAGAACTGATTCAATGACACTTAACAACAACAACATACTATTTACACATACTTTATTTGGTTGTGGTGTGCCATGGAGTTGGTTCTGACTCATAGCAAGCTTGCATAGGGTTTCTGAGGTTATAATTCTTTATAGGAGCAGAAAGCCTCGTCTTTCTCCTACAGAATGGCTGGTAGTTTCGAACTGCTGACCTTGAGGTTAGCAGGCCGACTCATAACCACTACGCTACCATGGCTCCTTGTTTAATTCTTTATGTTGATGTTGTTAAGAGCTGTCAAGTTAATTCTGACTCATAGCAATCCTGTATAGGGTTTCCGAGGAGCGACTGGTGAGTTTGAACCACCGACCTTGAGGTTCACAAAGACCTTGAGGTTGAGTGCTTATCCTATGGTGCCACACCAGGATTCCAACATAGTATATATAGTACATATTTTGAGATCAGAACCCTCTCCCATTAACCCTTTCCCCTAAACAATCCTTTGCTTCAACTATTTAGTCTGCTACGCTGCTTGTCAGTTCAGCTTTATATCTACCTCAGACCCTTCATGCTGTACCTTGAGCTCCTTTCCATATTGAGGACCTCAACAGAGGTGACGTTCTTGCTGGTCAAGGTGCCCCAAATCTCAGTACACCCTGGCTCACTAACTAGTTTCTTCTCTGGATTAACCTTTCCTATTATCTTATTATTCCTGTCAGTTCAGTTTTGACTTAACATTTTCTCTAACACCCCAAATTTTTGTGTGCCAGTCACTGTTGGAAAGGAATATCCAGCAAGACAGATGGACAGAAAGAAAGGAAGGAAGAATGCAACCATCCTTACAAGTCCCATGACAGGATCAGGCAAGGTGGACAGAGCAATATTCGGCTTTTTTCTCACTTGGTCTGCTCTTCTGAGGAGGAACTTGGTCACCTCCAACAGACAGTGAGCCCCAGAGCACCCCCTATGCTCATGAGAGCAAGCATCCATACAATGTGCTCTCAGGCTCAGACCTCTCTTCTGAGCTCCCATCCAACTACCTGACCATCATCTTGTCTCTCTTGTAGATGTTAGGCAAGTACTGTGAACTCAACACTCAAAAAATCCAATCAAGGATCTTTTCCTGAAACCT